CAACTTCATTCAATGGTCTAGCGCAGTGACATGAAGTGCAATGCACAAGAACCGTAACTCTATTTGGACTAATTACATAATATTGCCCGATGTTACTTTTTCTAATGTCCAGTGCATTACTTGAAAACTATTAATTGGAATTTCAATACAACTTCATACAATGGTCATTATAAGTGCAATGAGAGGAAGTGCAGTGTACAATAACAATAACTCTATCTTCAGTATTTGTAGAGTTATTGCCCTTGGTTCCTTTTTCTCGTCAGGTGCACAACTAATGTTTAGAATTCAATGAAACTTCATTCAATGGTCAAGCGCAATGAGAGGAAGTGCAGTGCTCAAGAAGCATAACTCTTTTTGGACTTATTACAGAAGTAATTCAATAAAACTTCATCAATGGTCAACCACATTAGAAGGAAATGTAACATACAAGAACCACAACTATCTTTAATTTCCCACTGTAAACCATAACTCTATTTCAGTTCTTTTGCAAGGTATTCTGTTATTAGTTACAACTTGCTCATTTCCGAAGCAGTCTAAATGCGGGGTATTAATCACATTTAGTGATAGTGCTAGTTTTAATTTTGGTAAATTGGTCAAAATTATTGGGTAATTACGCAGCTTCAGTGTTTTGTATTTGATAAACATCATATCATTTATTTCGTGTCATAAAAATCTGAAGAGTCCCTCGGAACTCTTAGAGCCCTAGCCCTACCGGACTCGGGCACCAACCATTCTTGCAGACATTATAACACAAAAAAACGTGCGTTTACCGTATATTAGCACTATCTGCATGGCTGTGAAAAGCTCATTAGTGATAACAGCTTAAATCTATACAATAAAATGTAACAGGAACATTATAGGTTTGTTCACAAGTCATTTGACTATTACACTAGAAATTACAGGAACATGAATATTGTTTAAACATTTAAAACAGTCATTTTCATTTGAAGAGTTCAAGTTTTTACACTTTTACCTATTACATTTACCTGTATATATAAACTGTGAGGTACATAACTTAAATATTTATCATATATTACTGGTATATTATATATTAGTTATGATAAATTTATTATATTTAAATGCAAACTGTTAAATACAAGACCCAGCAACTTATGATTAAGATTCTTTTTAAAGAAGTTTGTCAAAAAAGACACACATCATCAATGGCTGTACTGACACTGCAATAAAAAGAAATTCAAGTATAAAGTAATTATTGCAGTGTTACTGTTGCTGTTATCTTTTTATTGTTGAAATATGCCATGAAGAACAAATCGCAATAAAAGATTTTATATAATGCACACACCTATGCCTATGGTACAAATTAAGTTTGGAATTAAATCTTTTATACATTGGAAAAGAGGGCTTAAGAGATAAGTTATTTATTATATATATTTATTTATATATTTACCTGTATATAACATAAGCAATGACTTGAGACAATTACTGCTTTAACATAAAAATTTCAACAATGTCTTTGTTGTATATTTAAGTCATTTTATACTTCACTATGATGTTATTATGATATAAATACAATTTTTAGTTGAAATTCTTAAAATTTGAAGTAGATTAATTAACCCAGCTTTAATGTTAAATGAAGTTTTTCCTCACAGTTGACATAAGTTGACAAGATATGGTCATGAAATTAAATAAATGTATAGTTGAAAATATGGTAAATAATTGTGTCATAGACTTTAAATGAGGCTGTAACTTTGTTAACTGACAAAATGTGACAAGAAAAATATCTGTTTACAATATAATATGTTACTTTGTAAATGTGGTATACTCAAATATACAAAACAGGTGTTAAACCTCTTATTGCAATTTTCAAGGTTTATAGTTAGGATCTCCCATTTTTTCTGAATTGACTGCTGAAGACAACATGAATCAAAGGGCTGCAGCTCTATGGTATTTTCTAATCTTTGCAATCTAAATCATACTGACTATCTGTATGTACTTTCCTATATAAGTTTATTTTTATATACTATAATTCATCTTACGCAGCGACAGCGTTTTGATTTTCTTCTATAACAGTTTGAGATTGATACATGTATATGGAATTTTGCATGAAAAAAAAATAGAATTGCCTCGACTAGGATTTGAACCACAGGCCTCTCACACCCTCAACGAGACCGCTTATCTCTGCACCACGGCGAAGTAATACATAATTATGTACCTTGAATAAAAACGAATACATTATGTAATTCTGAATTGAGAATTTCCATTTCGTGTTTGCAATCCTTATTAATTTCGAGGTATTTTGTTCACGATAAACCTGTTGTTTAACACTGATGAAAATAATTTAGCGAAAATCTTCTCGCCAAAACAGTCCGACATGTATATATTCCACTACTCGGCAGTCAGATTTATTTGTGTAGTACGCTCTGGAGTATTCATTAATCGACATAGCTAAAAATAGCATTTTCATTGATTAAAATGATATTCATGATAATCCGAAGCTTTACGGAAATAGCCGAACATTTTTCATTGGGTAAAAAAGATATTCATCCGCGAAATTTGTGATTGTAACCTCACATTTCTATTGACTAATCTAAACTTTTAATGCACTGTAATTCGTTAAATGCCTACATTAAAAATTATTCTTTCTTTTAAATTGCTGGTTTTTAAGCAGTTTTGAGTGAGAACTACTTTGCGTTGTTAGGACTGTTAGGAAATCTTGTGTTAGACCGTGGATGTTAGCTATGTATTTACTGATCTTACGATCAGAAAATACAAAAATGATAAGATTGTTCTTATTACAGTCTAATAATTATCCAACTGTAGACAGTGCTTGTGTATATGTACAATTCTTTAATCCTTCTGTCTAGAAATGAAATCTTGAAAAATTTAGCATATTTTAATACACCTGTTAAAATTGATTAATTCTTGTGAGTGATAAAGTTATTTTATTTGAATCAAGTTGACCTTTGGTTATGAATCAAGTTGACCTTTGGTTATATCAACTTATCTCGTTGGTTAATATTAATAATGATTTATACTTTTTGTGGATTGATTAGTCTATCATTCTTAAATTTATTTATGTGGAACAATTTTGCTGTTATCTAGCGATTAAATTTGTGATCATATATTAACCTAATTAAATATTATTATTGGAATTTCTGACTTAATTGGTTTTCTTTGTTAAATTTTTAAATGAGCACTTATTTACATAAAACAGATTTTGTTCAAAGTCACAGATATCACACAAAAAAACTACAAAAGCACAAATATGACCTGAGTGAAACTATGGATGACTTGTGACCATCAAGTCGAAATTGCTTCTAAATTTTGAAGTGACTAAAAAAGCAAAGTGTGACGCCCCGGATAACACCAAACTCCACAAAAGAATTCAGCTTAATAATATCTGTCATATGTTGCGGTTGGGACCGAAATATCCGTCCCTAGGGGACCCGCCCATTGGGCGGTAACGAGGCTTGTCAGAAAGACACATTGTTTAAATGAATGGTTTAGTAATAAACACAAGTGAGGACAATTTATGCAAAATAGACTGTCAGAAATTTTCATATTTAGGTATTCACTTAAAATTCAGGTAAGATTACCCTTATCAACTTCAGCTTATTGACTAATATAAACACAATTGTAGGCCACTTTGTCAATACTTTGATTCCCTGACATAGTTGTAAATGGTGTGTAATAATTATACCCCGCTTCAAAGAAGTAGTAGTATATTGCTTTGTACAGCTGTCATTGGTTCAAACACTGTAGAAGTGATAGAGGGCTAGGTAACTTAAGGTAACTGTGAATAAAATGGAACAACACAATAATACAATCATTTTATTCCATAACAATAGATCAAGGGGCCTTGTACCTTTCTACAACAAAAGAAAATAATAAAATGATTGGCCACTTGTTACCATTAATTGGCATGTTAATGTCTGGCCATAGAATATACCTTGTCCTTTTCCAAACACAAGTTCATGTCCTTTATTAAGTCATTAATGTTGAGGTCACGATGACCTTGACCACTAAAAGCTTACATATTCAGCCAATTACTACTGTTTTGGTGTACATGCAGTCCCACAGAGAATGTTGATATTTTAAATGCATTTTCAAGTTTTATATGTTTAAACATTGTTCACATACTATAACATTGTGTGAATTTGTTACCTTGTAAATTGTTTGGTCTGGAGGCCTGAAAGCAAAATACAGTATAATGTATTGTATTATTATTGTATATTATTGTATTATGTGTAACATCAGCTTCTAAGTTGTGCACAATTAAAAGCTGATTTCATGTTACCGGAACAATCTTTACACACATATATATGTTAAACATACTCTGCATATACCAGCTTATCAAACACAATTAACATATTGTTACACAATTATGCTAACACATATTATATATACAATTCTAACACAACCCACATTTTTCCCTATTGAAAGTGTGTTTATTATGCAATAAAATCACTGTTGACGCTCTATATTTAGACATGTGACATAATCATTATATACATGTGACGTAATCACTAAAAATGTGACGCGCTGAAATAAGTACGGAAACAAATCAAACGTCAGGTATGGCAGCATTTATTTGTTGATGTTGTGTTAGAATCAAAACAATATATCCAAATCAGTGGTTTTTATCGCTTGATAAACGTTAGGATGTGCATCATTATATAATTCCTCGCATCCAAACTCCAAACAGAGATTTTATTGAGTGAATAAAATCACAGTTTGGGATATATTATTTCTTAACCAAAATAAAAATTTTTTACCAATTAGAAATATGGTTGATATAATTTATATAAAACAATTAATTTATCCAGCCTTATAGTTATAACATTATACATTATTTTATCAATTGTTTAAAAATGTTAACATATGAGCTGCGTCACGACAAAACCAACATAGTGCATTTGCCACCAGCATGGATCCAGACCAGCCTGCGCATCCACGCAGTCTGATCAGGATCCATGCTGTTCGCTTACCAACCCTATTACATGTAGAGAAACTGATGGGCTCATATACATGTATTACAGGTTTGCTGATATGCACAATTATATAAAGCCGAATGATGACAGAGCGTTAGATTTGATGTCTAAAGCAGCTGAGACTGTTATGGAAGAATTTAAAGACATTGTGTTAGCTTATGGTCAAAGTGATGAATATAGCTTTGTGTTTAAAAAAACAACAAATGTCTACAATAGACGGGCCAGGTATATTCTTCTATAGTATACTTGTTATTAAATATTCTACTATTAATTCAATGTTTGTATGTATGATATAGTGATTAAGTACTCCACTATGATGTCATTATATCATTATGTACATTAGTATAACTGAAGCATTAATATGATCTAGTTGTTGATGTAATGGCAACTTATTTAACAGCTGAATATATAAATTTTGATAAAAGTCTGCCATTTTCTATCCTGGTCTAGGTAAACGTACTGAACCAAGGTTCATATAATTTTGTACAATAATCTAATTTTGTCCTTTGTATATTGTCTTGGCTAATTTTAGTCTATAGAATTGTGTATGAACTTCATATAATCTATATATATTACTCTAGGTTAATGAGAAATAATTCATTTATGATAATTTGCATGATTTGAATTTAATATCAAAGATTAATTTCCATGAAATTGATTAATAATTGTATTATATATTATAAATATAGACGAATATCTATATATAGAAGACTTTATGATTTAATTATGATAAACAATAATTTTATGTTTATTTCATTCAAGATATATTTTTATTTAATAAAAAGTTTTTAATTTATTGCAGATAGCAGAATACCAAAATTTAAAAAAAGTTGTAAATTGTGTTTAAAAGTCACTATGTTTTTTGCTGAGTACTTTATAAAGTCTTATGATTTTTCATCGTCGGATACCCACGATTGATAAACATGTCACGTAATATTCAGCCGTAGGTATCCGACGATGATGATTTTTATGAACTTAAAACATTATCTTTTCTGAGTATTAATTAAATGAAGTGAGTTATTTAAAAATTTAATCATAATTTTGATGGTTTATTTGTTTATGTATTTCAGTAAGTTAGCAACAAATGTAGTGAGTCTGTTTGCGTCATCGTTTGTGTATTTCTGGCCGAGATATTTTGGGACAACAATGATGCAATATCCTCCAGCGTTTGACTCACGTACAGTTCTATATCCAAGTGATAAAAATCTCCGTGACTATCTTAGCTGGAGACAAGCAGATTGTAAGTTTACTGTATCATCAGAAAAACAATTGGGGCTGCCTGATGGCTAAGTTGTTAATGTTACTAACATTAAATAAGTTGTGCCTGGTTTGAACCTTGTCATGTACTTGAGATTTTATACACTCAGATTCTACAAATTCTTATTATATAGGTCATTAAAATTGCAATATTTCATTAAGAAAAGTAATTTGTAGTCCGGGTTTATGAATGAAATCTTTGAATGTCTTATATCAGGCAGCTGTCAATCAAATCTGTTAACTACTGTTTTAAATATTATAATGTTTATTACATATAATGTACAGGAGTTAAATTAATGTGAAAATTATATCATAGTGCTGTGTTAAAATGTCAAAGGCAAGCTCAGAAAATAAGTCACTGTAAAAATAGAATTTACTGGTAGGCTTGTTTCTTTCTCACATCTAGAGTTTACTTACTTTAATTCAGCATTTCTTCCCTTAAATTCAGCATTATTTTCCGTTATTTAGCATAACTTCTCTTTATTTCAGCATTACTTCCCTTTAATTCAGCATTATTTTCCTTTAATTCAGTAATATTTCCCTTAATTTAGCGTAACTTCCCTTTAAAATTCAGCATTGCTTTTCTTTAATTCAGCATTATTTCCCTTTATTTAGCGTAAGTTCCCTTTAATTCAGCATTATTTCTTTTTATTTAGCGTAAGTTCCCTTTAATTCAGCATTATTTCCCTTTATTTAGCGTAAGTTCCCTTTAATTCAGCATTATTTCCCTTTATTTAGCGTAAGTTCCCTTTAATTCAGCATTATTTCCCTTTATTTAGCGTAAGTTCCCTTTAATTCAGCATTTAATTTTCCTTTAATTTAGTTAGTATTATTTTAATTTTTCCAGCATAAATTGTGTTAATTTTCACTGAGTATAAACTATAATTAAGTAAAGTGCAGTGAGACGTTATTAGTGTGATGCTGACAAGTACAATCTATATTTAGAAACATCAATAGACCTGTCAAATTGTTGTATAAATTGTTTATTTAGTCCGATTGAGATTTTTAAGAGCAGTTTATTAGGTACTAGTTAATCATTGATTTACATTTTACATTTTGATAGTCTAAATTTTTTATATGCCATGTAAATTGAAAAGGTTTTAAGTATAATTCATGGAACCTAAATTTAGAGGCTGATACATGATTTATGATGAAGAAACTTGGTCAATATTGGTCAATGTTGGTTTTTGTAACCTTAAACTTCATTGACATGTCACAGTACAAAATTAACAGATTATAATTTTCATTCAGTATCATTTCAAGTACATTATAAATTATAAAAGCTGCGTTCTTGTGGGTTTTTTTAAGAAAAAAGTTCATGTGTATGACTGTGATAATGTTGTAATTTGTTGACATGTTTATTTTCTTGTAACTATATTTTCAGGTCACATAAATGATTTGTATAACACAATAATTGTTTTGTTACTATATTTTCAGGTCACATAAATAATTTGTATAACACATGTTTTGTTACTATATTTTCAGGTCACATAAATAATTTGTATAACACATGTTTTGTTACTATATTTTCAGGTCACATAAATAATTTGTATAACACATGTTTTTGGAAGTTGATACAAGAGAAGGGTCTGACACCTGCAGAATCTCAGGAGAGGTTAAAGGTAAATTAATGAGCCACGCCATGACAAAACCAACTTAATGGGTTTGCGACCAGCATGGATCCAGACCAGCCTGTGCATCCGCGCAGTCTGATCAGGATCCATGCTGGTCGCTTACAAACCCTATAACAAGTAGAGAAACTGATAGCAAACAGCATGGATCCTGGATGCGCAGACTGGTCTGGATCCATGCTGGTCGCAAACCCATTATGTTGGTTTTGTCATGGCGCGGCTCAATTTTATCTCTTTAATAAACATATATCAGAATTCTTTAGCTCATTTAAGTACAAAAATGTCCAGAGGTAAGCTTTTGTGGTAGTATGATGCCCGTAATTATCATAATTTATTTAAACAACATCTTAAACTCATTATTACCAAATTTCACCGGAATTATATTGAGGTAACCTCTACAAATGTTAAGAAAATATATCGATTATTATACAATTATTGACTAGTGAGCCATTGAATATGATGTAATAATGTGATATTCAATGGCTCACTAGTCAATAATTGTTTTATTACATGTATATGAATAGGCTAAGAAATGATAAAAAAAATCACAAAAAGTGCAACCTTGTATACATGTACAAATTTTGCCTTGTTGAAGCCTGTGAAAAAGACGCATGTGTTAGGCATGCAACGACTACGCGAACGCTGTGCATACAAAAATAATTCAAGTTTATACTCATCATTGCGGTGTAGCCTTTAAGTATAATAGTGAAGTAATGATAATTTAATCGAGAAATATAACATAAAGAACAAAAGCAACAATTTTTTTTTAAGTAACACGCGTAATTAACAGTCTACGATGTATGGTCATTGAATATGAGTTTCAATCTACTTTTAGACTGGGAAAATCCAATTCAGCCAGTGAATATGATACTACACACAGTGAATATGATTTTTTAAAAAGTTCTGTTGACTACTGTTTCTTTACACTATGTTTGTATAACGCTAATGACGTCACCTCAATATATATGCACAGCCGTGCAATACCATTTTTACGGCACATGTGTGATAAATATATATACTGTGCTCATATTTTGAGTAAAATAATTTATTGCATGTAGAAAATTTTTAGCTCACCTGTCACAAAGTGACAGGGTGAGCTTTTGTCATCGCTTTTCGTCCGGCGTCCGTCCGTCCGTAAACTTTTACTTTAAATGACATCTCCTCATAAACCACTAAGCCAATTTCATCTAAACTTCAGAGCAATGTTCCTTTGGTGGTCACCTTTAAAAATTGTTCAAAGAATTTAATTCCATGCAGAACTCTGGTTGCCGAGGCAACCGAAAGAAAAAACTTTAAATATCTTCTTTTAAAAAACCCAAAGAGCTAGAGCTTAGATATTTGGCATGAAACATCTTCTAGTGAGTGTCTACCAAGTTTGTTCAAATAAAAGCCCTGGGGTCAAAATTGGCCCCGCCCCAGGGGGTCATTGATTTTCCCTATATGCATATAGTAAAAACTTAAAAATCTTCTTTTAAAGAATTCAAAGAGCTAGAGCTAAGATATTTAGCATAAAACATGTTCTAATGGGTGTCTACAAAGTTTGTTCAAATAAAAGCCCTGGGGTCAAAATTGGCCCCGCCCCAGGGGGTCATTGATTTTCCCTATATGCATATAGTAAAAACTTAAAAATCTTCTTTTAAAGAATTCAAAGAGCTAGAGCTAAGATATTTAGCATAAAACATGTTCTAATGGGTGTCTACAAAGTTTGTTCAAATAAAAGCCCTTGGGTCAAAATTGGCCCCGCCCCGGGGGTCATTGATTTTCCTTATATGTGTATGGCAAAAACTTTCATCCAAACTTCACAGCAATGTTCCTTTGGTGGTCACCTTTAAAAATTGTTCAAAGAATTTAATTCCATGCAGAACTCTGGTTGCCATGGCAACCGAAAGAAAAAACTTTAAATATCTTCTTTTAAAAAACCCAAAGAGCTAGAGCTTAGATATTTGGCATGAAACATCTTCTTATGGGTGTCTACCAAGTTTGTTCAAATAAAAGCCCTTGGGTTAAAATTGGCCCTATGGGGGGGGGTGCAGAGGTCATTGTTTTTCATTATATGTGTGTAGTAAAAATTTAACATCATGAAACATCTTCTAATGGGTGTCTTCCAAGTTTGTTCAAATAAAAGCCCTGGGGTTTAAACTGGCCCCGCTCCGGGGGCCTATATACAGGTGAGCGACCTCAGGGCCATCATGGCCCTCTTGTTACTGAATTTGTCTAATTTTAAAAAAGAGAATGCACAACGATTTTATCAAACATGATCTTTAGAATATTACTAATTAGAATTCCATCTTATATAACAAATTGGTTTCCATACATTATCACACCATTATGCTGTTTTCTTCCTGGCTCATTTCACACTCACCTCTCCCATAAGTATTTGATACAGGCAAATATCTACATCTCAACTAATGATTTATTTAAGTTTAAGCCACCTGATTTAATGAAATTTTAGACACCTGATTTAATGAAGTTTAAGCCACCTGATTTAATGAAGTTTTAGACACCTGATTTAATAAAGTTTTAAACACATGATTTAATGAAGTTTAAGCCACCTGATTTAATGAAGATTTAGCCACCTGATTTAATGAAGTTTTAGACACCTGATTTAATGAAGATTTAGACACCTGATTTAATGAAGTTTAAGCCACCTGATTTAATGAAGTTTAAGCCACCTGATTTAATGAAGTTTTAAACACCTGATTTAATGAAGTTTTAAACACCTGATTTAATGAAGTTTAAGCCATCTGATTTAATGAAGATTTAGACACCTGATTTAATGAAGTTTTAAACACCTGATTTAATGAAGTTTTAAACACATGATTTAATGAAGTTTTAGACACCTGATTTAATGAAGTTTAAGCCACCTGATTTAATGAAGTTTAAGCCACCTGATTTAATGAAGTTTTAAACACCTGATTTAATGAAGTTTTAAACACCTGATTTAATGAAGATTTAGACACCTGATTTAATAAAGTTTTAAACACCTGATTTAATGAAGTTTAAGCCACCTGATTTAATGAAGTTTAAGCCACCTGATTTAATGAAGTTTTAAACACATGATTTAATGAAGTTTTAAACACCTGATTTAATGAAGTTTTAGACACCTGATTTAATAAAGTTTTAAACACATGATTTAATGAAGTTTAAGCCACCTGATTTAATGAAGATTTAGACACCTGATTTAATGAAGTTTTAGACACCTGATTTAATGAAGTTAAAGCTACATGATATAATTAAGTTTAAGCCATCTGATTTCTGATTTAATGAATGATATAACTAAGTAACATGTTTTAGCCCTCTGATTTTGCTAATACATGTAGCTGAAATTACCATATGAGGAAACTTTCAGACTGTGCAGCTTGTGTCATATTTATTACAGACATGTAATTATTGATTGTTGAGGTATTATTTAAATGGTTTTATTATTTTAGGGTACAATGTCTAGTGATAAGAATGAATTACTTTACAAGGAATTTGAAATCAACTACAACAATCTACATCCTCTACACAGAAAAGGCACAATTCTTATACGAGCAGCTAAAGTAAGCTAAACAATTTACTTTGTTGTAAATAATTCAAATAATGAAAATATTCTCAATATTTACATGCCAAATTACAAATACTGAAATATATGTGCTTGATAAATTAAATATATTGGAAACTAAGACAGTTATTTTATAGAACATTAAATTGCTAGCAAGATAAATGGGAAGTTAGCATTATAGTTCTATTATTATATAATTCATACTTATTGTTAATGATGTATATAGTATACTAGCATATTTGAATTTTAAATATAAACTAATAGTCTTATAAAGATTTTTTTCCGTGTAAAACATGATGATTATAATTACAGAATGACCTTGAGAATGGTGACCTTGACCTCTCACTACAGCTTCACATATCAGGTTCATCAACTAGTAGAAGTCATACAGCACGAGGTCACGGGCGTGCAACAGACTCCAGGAGAAGTCCACAAATGAGCAGAAAATTAACGCGACCTAATATAGAAAGACTTCATGTTGATTTAATTGGGGAACAATTTTGGACAGATTATCCAAATGTTTTAGATCCATCTAAAAAGTAGATAATCATTGAACAGTATTTTAGATTATAATACCACAATCTTCATGAAAGATGGTTGTTGAAACACAACAATTCAAATATCAATAAGCCCAACAACATTTTAATAATTATTTAAAACACTATCTATTTATAATGTCAGCAACATTTTACTTTAAAACAACAAAAGATATTTAATAATGACAAGACATATACAGAGTACAACTACATGTAGACATAATTAACCAATGGAGAGTTTTAATTGTTTTCAAATTGTTGGGTTGTCAGTGTTGGTTTGGATTGAATTGATTGGTTTTATAAATTGGCTGTGATATTAAATGTTCATAATGTGTATTTGTTGTACAGAAGATATACTTGATGTATTGTATAAGACACAGATTTGAGTCAGACCCGTAATAATTTCATTTATGTAGTACTGATATAATGATGTCAATTGTATGAAATATGTAGTGTTTATAGTGTAAGATTTACACATGTCAGATATGATATTAAAACTGTTTAAGGTTTGTACATGTTAGATTACTTTGGGCAGCTACGTTTCTATATGCCTGAACGTAATTATGGTCAAAATTTGATTTGGCACTTGTATGTCTATCTGTCTGTCTGTTAGCCATATTGATGACTGCTCGATAATTTAAGAACTTTTAGGTGTTGTTTCCATACTTTTTAAAGATGATGTTGATGGCCAGTAGATGACCCAGTCAGTAACTCAATGTCATATATTGATACTGTATAAAATCCTTGTCCAGTCAATAACTTGTTCTGGTGGTTGTATGACAGTCACATATTAACATTGTACATGGAGCGTCCGTGGCAGAGTGTTTAAGATCATTGGCTTCAAACCACTTGCCTCTCACCACTTTAGGTTTGAGCTGCCCAAGCGTCTTTGGGTTGTTTTTTGTGAGAAAAGTATCTAGCTAGCTTACAGAACGTTGGTGGTTCTAAATAGGAGTCCATTTGTGCCTCAAATAAAACATGGAAGGGCACACCTGAGATCTTACTCCACCAGTAAAGCTTGAAAGATGCCTCATGACCTATTCTGTGTTACCATATGACCTATTCTGTGTTGGTGCAATGTAAAACCCAACAGAAAAACAAAACAACAAACAACATTGTACATCTTATAACAGCAATACTCCAGGCATATAATACTCTTCACATGGCAGGCTCTTGTTTCTTATAATAATTTATTTGGAAAAATCACTCTTTGTTTATCTCTATCTACAGAAGGAAAGTTGTATATTTGTTATCTCCTTTTAGATCTGTTGATTTATTTTGCTGTTCATTTAACATTATCGAACATTGACTCGAGTATAGAGCTAGTCGAGTCTGAAAATTCATGCAGTCAACTGTTGTCTAACTCATTTATTTCGTCTTAATATTCTTAAAATTGATGAACAAATTTTGCAAAACTTGAAGCTGGAAAAATTCCCTATAATTACCGGTGGAAAAATGCAAATCATTCATGTAATGTTACAGAATGACCAGGCAGTTTTACATGTATCATGTAAGTTAACTTGTGTAGAACATACAGCATTATATTTCAGATATGCCAGTGATTTAAAACCTCAAAACTTCAATCAAAATATGTGATTGCAATATGTTATGTTTATATCATGCAATATTTTATAAATAAATGTCAGTAAAGTGTCTTGTGTTATATTCTTTATTTATAAAGTTCAAGATCCACATGTAGAACATTAATGGTAAATGGGAGATAAATGCTGTAACAATTTAGTCTATTTTATTTCTTAGTGAATAAACTTGAAAAAGTATCGAGCATTGAACAATTTTGCCTACAAGTATATATTTGTATATAAAGTTTATATATATATATATATATGTGTGTAGAAATTTTCATACAAACATCGTTGAAGAATTTTCCTTTAAACTTTTTAGTGTAGAATTTTGCCTTCAAGAATGTTGCCTTTAATCATATTTCGGTGCTTCAAACATAAACATTTACAAGTATCTGTGGCGTGTTTGTAAAAACTACCATAATGGAATGTTGTTTAATATTTAATAATGGTTAAAAAAATACAAAATGAGAAACTCGATTTTCAAAAAATAAATGTCTGTTGGTGTAAAGATATATTAATCAATTAATTTTGCTTATTTCTTTAAAAATAATGTTAATTTTCTATACATTTATACAACGCATTAGACATTAAATACATAGTATACCATTCCATATACAACAAACGCCGGAAATAACAGAAGTTATCTATTGGAAGTTAGTACGGTGTCTTCGGTGTTGCTGACATCAGACAGAATTGTAAAAAGTTTTCTTTAAAAGTAAAGTAAAAGTGAGTTAATGTTAGATTGTCGTGATTAGTAATTCAGGGAAAGGTTTAACATTGATCTTTCTTTGCAGACAGGATTTTATACTGATATATATATATATATATATGTGCAGGCAAGGATTTGCGCCAGTTTATGTGTGTAGGCAAGATTCTACACGGGTTAATGTTTGAATCTTTTATGTTTCTAAGCAAGATTCAACACTGATTTATATTTATAGGCAAGATTTATCACTCTTAGGATATGTTGCCTGCATTTTAAATTTGTCTTTTGACGTCATATCTGTGATACGCAGGCTTCATAACCTCTGATCCACTTTCGGAATTCTATTTTGTTCATTTCATCCATTTGTTTTCTCGTTTAGGGCACACGCTTTTTTTTTACTTGGGGACCATATGCCGCTTTTCATGGAATGGCACTACTGTGTCACATTGAAGGTTCCATGGTAACCGCCGTATAAACACATCTGTGGATGGTTCAAAATTTCAAATTTCACCATTTTCATGTTTAAATGTTGAATTCTACTGAAGCCGGGTGCTAGAGGACGTGGACGGTAGTTTGCACTTTACAGTACCGTCCGTGAACAGGCTCAATCAAACCGAGCCTGTAACATTTTCAATTTTGCAGTTTTGGACTTTCTTTAGGGATTCTTATTTTCTCTATCTTACATCGATTTATGTTTGGAGGCAAATTTTTGCACCGAAATATTCATATTATGTTTGTATTTTCTAGGTTATTAACTGTAGTGTTTAAAATCGGTCTAATAGCATTAACTAACATAAAGGAACTCATCTAACGTGTATGGGCAGATTTTTATAATGCTCAAAGTTAATAAGTTTAACAATTTGAGCCGTGTCATGACAAAACCAACATAGTGCGTTTGCGACCAGCATGGATCCAGACCAGCCTGCGCATCCGCGCAGTCTGATCAGGATCCATGCTGTTCGCTATCAGTTTCTCTGCTTGTAATAGAGTTGGTAAGCGAACGGCATGGATCCTGATCAGACTGCGCGGATGCGCAGGCTGGTCTGGATCCATGCTGGTTGCAAACGCATTACGTTGGTTTTGTCGTGACGCAGCTCATTTAGTCACATCGTTAGTTTGATCGAGACGCCTGCCAGTTTGAAGCAATACATATCCTGGTGCAATATTTCGCAATCTATATTTCTAAATTTTCTTACCGTAATTAAAATTTACCAATAATTAATAATGTAAGACTTGTACAGAGAAAAACATTAAAAGATTATTCTTATTTCTTGTGTTACCAAAGGGATGTCCAATTTGTTTAAGAGACAAACAGAAAAACGGATTTAATGAAGAAAGAAAAAAACAACCCGCATATAATTAGGAATAATATTAATACTTTATTTCGTCAGAGATTTCCTGTCTAAACAAATGTGAATGTAGTTTAAAATAGTAAAGAGCATTTTTGTAAATATTATCTTGTTTACATATGACTTGTTTACATGTGAGATTGAGACATTGTTCTAACTATAACACTGCACTTGTAAAACTGGTTTATCATATAAAGTAATACAGCTGAAGATAAGAAGTTGAAACAATTAATCTAGTGATCTCAGAGGTGATGAAACTTGTATAACGATATAAAGATTTGCCTAGTGAACACAGAGGTAAAAAAGGCCATTGTATAACGATATAATGATTTGCCTAGTGATCTCAGAGGTAAAAAAAGCCATTGTATAACGATTTAATGATTTGCCTAGTGATCTCAGAGGTAAAAAAGCCATTGTATAACGATATAATGATTTGTCTAGAGATCTCAGAGGTAAAAAAGCCATTGTTTAACGATATAATGATTTGCCTAGTGATCTCAGAGGTAAAATAAACCATTGTATAACGATATAATGATTTGCCTAGTGATCTCAGAGGTAAAAAAGCCATTGTATAACGATATAATGATTTGTCTAGTGATCTCAGAGGTAAAAAAGCCATTGAATAACGATATAATGATTTGCCTAGTGATCTCAGAGGTAAAAAAGCCATTGTATAACGATATAATGATTTGCCTAGTGATCTCAGAGGTAAAAAAAACAATTGTATAACGATATAATGATTTGCCTAGTGTTCTCAGAGGTAAAAAAGCCACTGTGTAACGATATAACAATTTGCCTAGTGATATCAGAGGTAAAAAAGCCACTGTTTAACGATATAATGATTTGTCTAGTGATCTCAGAGGTAAAAAAAGCCATTGTATAACGATATAATGATTTGCCTAGTGATCTCAAAGGTAAAAAAGCCATTGTATAACGATATAATGATTAGCCTAGTGATCTCAGAGGTAACAAAAGCCATTATATAACGATATAATTATTAGTCTAGTGATCTCAGAGGTAAAAAAAGCCATTGTATAACGATATAATGATTTGCCTAGTGCTCTCAGAGGTAACAAAAGCCATTGTATAACGATATAATGATTTGCCTAGTGATCTCAGAGGTAAAAAAAGCCATTGTATAACAATATAATGATTTGTCTAGTGATCTCAGAGGTAAAAAAGCCATTGTATAACGATATAATTATTTGCCTAGTGATCTCAGAGGTAAAAAAAGCCATTGTATAACGATATAATGATTTGCCTAGTGATCTCAGAGGTAAAAAACCCATTGTGTAACGATATAACAATTTGCCTAGTGATATCAGAGGTAAAAAAAGCCATTGTTTAACGATATAATGATTTGTCTAGTGATCTCAGAGGTAAAAAAAGCCATTGTATAACGATATAATGATTTGCCTAGTGATCTCAAAGGTAAAAAAGCCATTGTATAACGATATAATGATTTGCCTAATGATCTCAGAGGTAAAAAAAAGCCATTGTATAACGATATAATGATTTGCCTAGTGATCTCAGAGGTAAAAAACCCATTGTATAACGATATAATGATTTGCCTAGTGATCTCAGAGGTAAAAAAGCCATTGTGTAACGATATAACAATTTGCTTAGTGAACTCAGAGGTTAAAAAAGCCATTGTTTAACGATATAATGATTTGTCTAGTGATCTCAGAGGTAAAAAAAGCCATAGTATAACGATATAATGATTTGCCTAGTGATCTCAGAGGTAAAAAAAGCCATTGTATAACGATATAATGATTAACCTAGTGATCTCAGAGGTAACAAAAGCCATTATATAACGATATAATTATTAGTCTAGTGATCTCAGAGGTAAAAAAAGCCATTGTATAACGATATAATGATTTGCCTAGTAATCTCAGAGGTAAAAAAGTCACAGTGTAACGATATAATGATTTGTCTAGTGATCTCAGAGGTAAAAAAAAGCCATTGTATAACGATATAATGATTTGTCTAGTGATCTCAGAGGTAAAAAAGCCATTGTATAACGATATAATGATTGCCTAGTGCTCTCAGAGGTAACAAAAGCCATTGTATAACGATATAACTATTTGCCTAGTAATCTCAGAGGTAAAAAAGTCACAGTGTAACGATATAATTAGTGATTTTAAACGTGAATACGATATAACGATCCTACTGCTGAACTCAGATGTGAAGAAATCATTAGATGACGGTAGGCGGTATCCTCTCCTTGAAATTGACCTAAAAGAAGAAAAGTAAAATTTTAATTAATAAGGCAGACGGAACAATGTTTTTTTGTGATATACTCCTACATGTTCAAAGTTATATCTCGTGTATACGCATTCCTCTCGTGAATAAATTGTTAATTCTACACGTACAAAAGATAAAACACCTACATAATGATTGTCCAGGAAACGTAAAATGACAGGATTACAAAACTTCTTCATGTTTTTGTTGTCGTTGTTGTTGTTTTTTCTTTAATTAACAACATCTTATATCTTCACACTGACTAGAGTTACCAATAATCATTTTTTTTTTATCAAATTCTACAAGTCATCGCAGTATGTGTGTTCTGTTCTGTTAAATTATCTGTGATATTTTGACAAATATATTTACTTTTCAATTTATAAAAATGCAATCATTCTTTCCAGAAAAAACCTTTAGATGCGCGAAAGTGTGAACAGACAGATTATATTTTATATCTATCTAGATAAGACATGAATAAATCTTTATATGTTACTGTTTATATATGTTGTACCTACCAGTAAATTTAGCAGCATGGATCTTCCGTGATCACGGTAATGCCGTTCTCTCTCAGTGTTTCAGTGTCAGTTAGAGATGTTGAACGACGGAAAAATTGTGATAGTACAAGAGACAGCAAGACTGGCACTGAAAACAAACTCTAGTATATAAACTTAATGTTTCAATATCATTTCTTATTTTAAACCAGTTTACTTTATGGCAATGTAAAAGTTTATCATCATCTAATTGAATAAATTAAATAAGACAAATTTCAAAAGCGTCTATGTTTTGAGTAGGTACATTTATGCAACTTTAACAAATAATTTGTGATTTATATATACAAAGTTGATACAAAGTTTATACAAAGACACTTTTGTATAGTTATTTGTGGAAAAGTTATATTTAAAAAAATGAGATACTGTAAATAAATAATCTTTGAAACTATTCCGTTAAAGTAATACTATGCTACGCAGTCTCCTTATAAATATAAAATAAACATATTTTGACTTCACACAAAATAGATATGTTATGTTTCTAACTCTACACACTATAGGTGGTCACAATATGAATAAATTATCATTAAAAAAAACTTGCAGTTTTTTTTTTTAAAGAAAAGACAAACTTTACTTGACCTGTAATAAAGAACGCAGCTTCCCATGGCATTCATAGTTTATTTATTCTTTTATCCAAATTAGACATAATCAGTAAGAATTTCATAGATTTCAATAAATTTCTATGACTCAAGGATTGGCATAGTATATCTTGAACAAGCTGATATACATACAGAATCTTTCATGAACATAAATACAGTAATACACAATAAATTACACATAGAAATATGGATCTGCGCATGTGATACAAAAATTCTCATAATTAATAACAATAAAAAAACTTGATATGAGAAAAAACATACTACATGTTTATGTATACCGGCTCAATTTTTATTTTCGTGTTATATACTTACATACACTATCCACCTTCTTATAAACAACCGGTACGGGCATAACTTTCTCTTGTTTTGTGTCCCAGTCGTAATGTGGGTACCGTGAACTTATCTGCATACCTAGTGTCAGACTAACACCTAGTACCATATACACCACTAGTAATACACTGTACCTCATCTATAACCATAGAAATAACAACATTAAAATATCTTTTTTAATAATACAATAATAATAAACTGTTTAAATGTTGAGGACGTTTTCGGGAGTTTTCATTTAGACATACAAGCAAAAATACAACTGTTCGAGTGATAACGATGACCCCCAAATTTGTTTCTCTTAAAATGTAAATGTTTCTATTTCATACTCTAACAACATGCCAAGTTTAATAAAATTCTATTGGGCAGTTTAAATATTGCCTATACGTGTATGTCTAAATAAAAACTCCTGAAAACGTCTTACATTAGTGTAACAAACTATACATCACATTTAGTTTAGATTATTATCTACATTGATTCAACTAATAAAATAGTAGTCCGTATATTACCTAATGTTCTACAAAAACCATAATCTAATTTGAAAATACATTTGTAACAGACATTTGTTGCATAAAAGAATTATAAAATAGACACAGTGTATACAAAATGAAGACTCTTTAATAAACGAGTTTACAACCAAATCAATTCCCTTCACAGAAGTCACGTTCTTTATTGAACTATTTATAAAAGAAAAATAGGAAACAGTATGTTTCCTTCTTTTTTTCTTAGAGGCACATTATGTCCCAGAAACAAATAACATTTTACTTCTTTATTTCAATTTTATAATGTTCAAGTGGTTTTAGCGAAATGTTAGATGCTTGTTACCACAACAAAGTAACGATAAATGTGAAATAATTTGTCATAAAAGTAGCAAAACGTGAACAAAGTAGTATTTTAACTTTTAACTTCCACACAAAATACTAGTTCACTAAACTGTACTTATTGCAAAAAAAAGATGGTTCCAGTAATTGGTCAATGAGTAACTTTTCAGATACTATAAAAATACATCAAAATTAAAAGAGCTTTGAGAAATAAAACTAAAAGCATTTTTGAGGCATAATGGACCTTTAATAATTATCCTGAATAAGATAAATTTACACAAGAAGAAACATTATAATTGGTCATGTCGAGAATTAATATAAATATAATTTCTTTTTTTCCAATTAACACTGAAATTACTATTTTCTCTTGGGCCACTATTTTTATGAAAATGAAAATACAAATTATAAATGTCAAAAAAGAGTTTAATAGCTTTATGAGCTTAACTAGATTAAGGAAAAAAGAAAACATGTTAATAAATAAATACATACCTTATTTCGCTGACTGTTGATTTTGAAAGACACGTTAAACGCAATTCAATTAAATTTATTAACTTAAAAGGAAAACATTAAGTAAAATTCAATGATATATTACGATATACATGTCAATCACGTGACACGGGTGTCGCCATTTCAGACAGTAGTACAGTAAAATGATGTAACGAGTTGATCAAAATGGTGATTTCATGTTAACTTTTCTTTCACTTAAACTTTCTCAAAGGGAGTTAGATAGGTATGTTTTTTTCTCTTTTTTTTACAATTAATTTTCATTTTAATTTATTGCAATTTGATATGGATATCAAACTAGATTTAGTAACAATTATGATGTGAAATGTTTTCTGAATAGTTTCAACCTGTAAACATATAGACCGACAATTGAAATAGTTAAAAAAAACTTCTGTATTTATATTTAGAGATAAATGGACCGAGGAATGTAAGGTAGTATCAAAAGACAAATCAAAGCTCTGAGAGAACTGTCATATGTATGCAGTATAAATGAAAAATCTGTATTGTTTATTATTTTGTTTGTTGTTGTTTTTTTTTGTTTTTTGTTTTTTTGATAATGTTTATACAAGATTAAGAAAATAGTAACGTTAAATAGTTATAGAATATCATCCACACAAATTATGCTATGACATGTACTTATACTTAATTGATATTTGATAAGGGTATTTTGCCGGTAAATAACATAAACATAACATAACATAATATTTATTCAGCATTAAATGTTACAACATTTATAGCCATTTCAATATATTTTGCCGGTAAATAGAAGGACTGGCATTTCGATTAATGTTTAATCACGTTTTTACACCTTTATTCGGGTTATTTGTGTTTTACGCCATACGTGTGTTCCACGTATTCTACATAAAATATTCTACATACATACTTAACATCATTATTTGTATTAAAGGGAAAAATGTACATAATTATTTTATCGTATACTTCATCATATAAAATATAAAAACACCATGTCAAAACTAACACAGCGTTTCTTTTCTTCTTCTAAAAGCAACGCCCCAAAATATAAATAAACTTTTGAGCAAAAGTTTGTGCATTTGTTTTGCATATGTTGAAGCCTTTAGTGTGAAGTTACATGGTCACAATTATCAGGATTATATGACTGGTATGACAGTGTCAACATTTTAATTAACCATCTATATATACTAGCACTCGTGTCTCCTGCCTCTATTCATTATATCTCTTATGTCACTATTGGTGATTTTATTTCAGAGGAAGTAAAAAACCCGCGTCACAGCACGATTCAAATGTTAAACTCACCTTTTATCAATAATTGTAAAAAATCGACGTACTACTGTTATAACGTCACATATGAAATACTGAAGCTAAGGTACCTTTAAAAATAATATTAAGAGCGTTTTATTGTTAAATTTTATTTACATGGTAGTGTAGACTACTAAGTATTTGTGAAATTTACATTGCCAGTGTGTAAGAATTGCAACATTGCAAACCACTTGTTTTTTTCATGAGACATTTTATATGGACTTCTATTATCTTCACATTGCACGTAGTCTACTCAGTCCTTAGAAAAATACGTTTTTATAATTAAAGGGAGACAACTCCAAAGCAATTTTCTGTATAAGTGTTGAAGATTTGTCTCTACTGATTACTCGTCCGTATTCTTTCACATACACATTCATATTAGAATCTACTACACAAATATCTTTTTAAAGCACAAGGACTATTATATGTATAAAACGAGAGAAAAAAAAACAATTTTTAAAACATGTAATAATGAAACAGTTACGTTTGTTAAGAGAACAATTACAAGATGTTGATCACCATGAATCAGTCTATCACCTCTCAAACATAAAATTTTAATAAAGATTACTTAATTAAAAATATGTCACAAATACTGAGTAGTATGTTGAATGAGGAATATTTTACCATATCATTTACATTGATTTATGTAGATAAAGTGTATGCCTGATAAATTAAGCCTTATCAATCACCCTCAGCTTTATTAATTACCCTCAGCTTTAACAATCACCCTCAGCTTTATCAATCACCCTCAGCTTTATCAGTCACCCTCAGCTTTATCAATCACCCTCAGCTTTATCAATCACCCTCAGCTGTATCAATCACCCTCAGCTTCATCAATCACCCTCAGCTTTATCAATCACCCTCAGCTTTATCAATCACCCTCAGCTTTATCAATCACCCTCAGCTTTATCAATCACCCTCAGCTTTATCAATCACCCTAAGCTTTATCAATCACCCTCAGCTTTATCAATCACCCTAAGCTTTCATCAATCACCCTCAGCTTTATCAATCACCCTCAGCTTTATCAATCACCCTCAGCTTTATCAATCACCCTCAGCTTTATCAATCACCCTCAGCTTTATCAGTCACCCTAAGCTTCATCAATCACCCTCAGCTTTATCAATCACCCTCAGCTTTATCAATCACCCTCAGCTTTATCAATCACCCTCAGCTTTATCAATCACCCTCAGCTTTATCAATCACCCTAAGCTTATTAATCACCCTCACTTATCAATCACCCTCAGCTTTATCAATCACCCTAAGCTTCATCAATCACCCTCAGCTTTATCAATCACCCTCAGCTTTATCAATCACCCTCAGCTTTATCAATCACCCTCAGCTTTATCAATCACCCTCAGCTTTATCAGTCACCCTCAGCTTTATCAGACACCTCACCAATACATGCATATATTGATAACAAATGAAGAGAATGGAATATCTTTACGTCTTACAAGTTTAAAAAAAAAAAACGTAACAAAAAAAAACAGTTTAACTTTGAATCGAACAGATTTTTGTTAAATATCTAAGTCTATCTTACATTTTACTAAAAACCTTTGGGACTATTTCTTACAAATATTAACACTTAAGGTTCATGAACAATAGAACAACGTTACAAAGTATTATACATGACAAGATGACAAATATTGGAACTTCTGTCAGCAAAATGGCATAGTAATAATACTTGAAAAATTTTAACATTTTCAAATTACATGTATACATATACATGTGACAAAACGTTGTGTTATTACAAAAAATATAAGATTATTATACAAACAATTAATGATCTTGACACGATTTATTCTATTCATCAGGAAACTTCGAAAATGAGATTGTTAAACATCGTAATATTGGTGATGTCGGCATACGCCATGCACGTGACGTGCCAATCATATCCAGGGTTTGAACCTGTCGTTGTTGAAGTTCCTGGTATATTTGGAAAGTATGGAGGATACTTACGTAAGTTTAATTATTTCACAGCTTATTCAATGTAACCAATGAACTTTCAGCGTTTGCACCATGTGACCTCTTGATATAAATCACTATTGATATACTCTCGTTTTTAGTTCCAGCGCTCCTATACCAAATGAACTTTGTGTTCGCCTTCTAGCCTCGTTTACAGTTTTTAAGTCCAAAAATTCATATCAAAAAATAGATAAATACAGAATCCCTAAAGAAAGCCCAACACGGCAAAATTGAAATCGACATTGTACCGAAATAGTAAAGTTCTTCAAAATATCAAAAATTGGTAGTTCATTTTACATTGTTGAGTGCAATACTGATTTTATTAGACTCGTTCAAGCTGCCAAGCGTTTTTAAGTCGTCCAATATAGGTTTGACAGCTGTGTACCCATTCAACAGAATTCACTATAATGTATAATAACATCGTATTACTAGTTTTGCTATGTCATATCTTAGTCAAAATGAATCAATCGTTGTTTTTAAATGAGAACGTACTTGTTGTAAATTGTGATTTGGGAAGGTTTGTTTTTATGTTTTGTCGGATTGGAATAAATCTAATAAACTGAGTAACAAATCAGTTATAATCAAAACACATCAAGTCCTGATCGAGAAGTAAACCAGTCCAACACGTCCTAAGATGTAAACCCATATTATAAATCCTTATAATAAACCAGTCCAACATGTCTTAAATAATAAACCAATCTTACAAGTCCAGGATTTGCGCCTACCTAACAAAGATAATGTTTGGTCAAAATTCATACCTTAAGTGTGATAGTTCAGCCTGCAAAATATTATATACAATATATATAAATATTTAATGTCATCTTTCTTTGCAGTGGGATTGGTTATATTACTTGTGTCATATTTAAACAATCGTGATGATAATGCAGTAAGAATCAACGTGGGTGGTGATACCATGACGATGAGTAGTAATGGAGGAAACGGGGGTCCTGTACCTACTCCTTGATACAACATCTGTGAGTATCATACTTGTAGAATGAAAGTGCAAATATTTTAGTTGACAAGACTTTGTGGAAATTTAATGAAAACAGATCTTAAGTACAGCTTGTGTAGTCCTTCATTAGGCATTTTTAACACTCCTACTTGTCCTGAAATTCACCACACTACACACATACCAACACAACTTGTCCAAATATATCTTTTGTTTAGAGATCTGATGTTAAAATACACGTATATACATGTATAAGAGGGGACGCATTTATTAGCAGTGTACATATTGAATTTATTTCTGTACTGTGAGGTGTAACTTTGTTGATAACAGCAATGTTGTACTTAAAATAATTACTTTTCTTTAAGCAGAAAAATAAATCATCGTTTTGTATTTCTAGAAGATAAAACTGTTTACATATCTACAGAAAACTGTACATTGCTCTGTTTTCTATTTGCAGGTATTTCTCGCATGGACATATTTGAGTGTTGCATTAAACATTAATGTATTGTGTTTTCATGTCAAATTAAACTTTCATCATTACTGTATGTTGTTCTGTGTTTTATAATAGCACCAACCTTTAAATCATTTGTGTCATTATTTAATTGCTAAATGGGTTAAAATTTGTGATAGATTTACGTACAATTAAATATAAACAATACAAATTAATGCATTTTGTTCAAGTGAGATACATCAATTAAAGTTGATGTAAGATTTAATCCTACATTAAGATTTTATCCTACATTAAGGAGTTCATCGCATTAAAAATAACGAAACTTTCGTTTAGAACCTGTTTATCTTGACAACATAAACACAAAACATTTCCAATGACAATATTGATATTATTTCAAAAATGGAATATTAAGTGATATGGTGATTAGTAAGGTCACGTGAGGGTTAAAAATTTTCTTGATGCCTCTAGTTAGTATCTTGTTTATCTATATTTATTTATTTTATTTTATTTGACTTTATGTCTACAACAATCTAGATTAATCAGGAAGCGTTGGGAAAAAAGGTACAAAAATAAACCGGTAAATGCAAAAAATAATTGTATATTTATAAAAAAAACAACAAATTATTGGTAAGCATGGAATGATATATAATTCAACCTATTGTACATGTGTCTATTATTGTTGTTATGTTATTCCCTTAGTATGTAAGATATAAGGTATCCAGCTAAAGCAGTTTCTGGTTAAATGATGAAGCTATACTACATACAATTCGACACACGATTCAAATAGTATTGTTATACCGTACAATGTAAACTATCATGCTTATGCTGAAATACGTCCCTATATTAATGCATTTTCAACATTAAAAAAAATGAGTGAAATCTCTACTTTAGCACTTTATATTTGAAACGTTTTACATTACATGAGGAACGCGATATTTGTTATCTCTGACAAAGTTATAACATTAGCTAGACTGTCTTTAAGATGAACATTATTTTAAAAGAAACAATTTTAAGGCACTCCTGAAGGCAAAATAAATTGATTGATTTATCTTTACAACAACAAACTGTTGTTTTTGTGACTGACAGTTTCTCTCTTTGTAGTTATAAATAGAATGTTAAACCATTATAAGATATAAAATGACATTTTGTTGTTACGTCAAGTTGATGTTTACAAAGAAAGAATAAAAAAGAAATATCTTATATCTATATCCTATGAAATACCTAAATTTATGTACAATTACATGTCATAAGATATGATAAAATGACGGGGGTCTTTCTGGTGGTTTTTAAAATGCCCAGACACTGATATAATTCTCTTTTAATTTGGCCGTTTGCTATTTCCACATTTACTTTATGTCAATAACTAAATACAACTAAAAAATTATTGGTCACTTTAAAATTTCAAACTGCTTTTTAGGAATCCCCATTCTAAAATAAGTAAGACAAATTAAAGGAGTTTTCTGAAACGAAATATCTAGAAATTGTGAAATGACATTACGAAGGTTATGGCAACTTCCTTACTCTTATAAAATAAATTATGCATTCAATATTAACGGTCGTTTTCTTAACCAACACATTTACAAATGATAAAGTATATTATCGCTTATGTTGACATTAATGTCATGTTCACTGTAATTGAAACAGACAAAGATTGGGGCAGTGATCAATGTCTTTTATTTTAAATTGTACTTCCAGTTTTAACATAGTAAATGTGCAGGACATGAAAAGAAGAAGAGCTTAAAATAGTGTAAACAAATGTTTAATGCTCCATTTGTCTGTAATGATCCTGTATTAAAATAACCACATGTTCTGACATATATAGCTAATTTTGTTACGTCCGCTTACATATATTTTAAAAATACTTCTTGTTTTGTATTATCACATTATTATCATCACCCTTAATAGACATAATAAGATCTTGTTTATAAAACACAAACCGATATCTTATTTTTTATATGAATTTACAACAATTATTATCTATTAGTTATTGTAATTGAGATTACATAGGTTGTAATGATGAGACTGGTTTTTGAAAGCAATACAGTCTTAGATGATAATGACAGTAACTATCAAGAACCGAGTCACCAATAATATCAACGATAATCGACGATGTTTTAGAACTTGTGTCACCAAGTTGGTGATGAAGAACCTTATACATTATGTTCTAAAACCCAATGCATGTTATTTTGTAGCTATTTCTTTTCAATTTAAAGGCAGCGATCATTGTCATAGAGTATAACCTTTTATTAAATGAAGTAACATGTGTTTTTAATATTATTCTTCCAATGTTGATGAAATATAAACAAAAAACATTATATTCAACATAATTTGTTCAGTTAATAATGTGATGCATAACTTTAAATAGAACGAGGAAAACAACATGGTAAGGATGAACTGATTAAAACACTATTTCTTAAATTGTTCTCTAACCTATTTCATCAACACATAATGTGCTAGAAAATGTGCAAGGTAAATATATGATATGAACGGGAAAATTGTGTCTCTTAGATTAGCTAAATAATCTTGTCATTGTAATCAGTTATAATTCACTCTAAACTTACAATTCAACTTCTATTATCTTGCTGTTTCTGCCATACTTCTATATCACTTATAATTCACTCTAAACTTACAATTCTACTACTAGTATCTTGCTGTTTCTGCCATACTTCTATATCAGTTATAATTCACTCTAATCTTACAATTCTACTACTAGTATCTTGCTGTTTCTTCCATACTTCTATATCAGTTATAATTCACTCTAAACTTACAATTCAACTACTAGTATCTTGCTGTTTCTGCCATACTGCTATATCAGTTATAATTCACTCTAAACTTACAATTCTACTACTAGTATTTTGCTGTTGCTGTCATACTGCTATATCAGTTATAATTCACTCTAAACTTACAATTCAACTACAAGTATCTTGCTGTTTCTGCCATACTTCTATATCAGTTATAATTCACTCTAAACTTACAATCTTGCTGTTTCTGCCATACTGCTATATCAGTTATAATTCACTCTAAACTTACAATTCAACTACTAGTATCTTGCTGTTTCCGCCATACTTCTATATCAGTTATAATTCACTCTAAACTTACAATTCTACTACTAGTATCTTGCTGTTTCTGCCATACTTCTATATCAGTTATAATTCACTCTAAACTTACAATTCAACTACTAGTATCTTGCTGTTTCTGCCATACTTCTATATCAGTTATAATTCACTTCTAAACTTACAATTCAACTACAAGTATCTTGCTGTTTCTGCCATACTTCTATATCAGTTATAATTCACTCTAAACTTACAATTCAACTACTAGTATCTTGCTGTTTCTGCCATACTTCTTTATCAGTTATAATTCACTCTAAACTTACAATTCAACTACAAGTATCTTGCTGTTTCTGCCATACTTCTTTATCAGTTATAATTCACTCTAAACTTACAATTCAACTACAAGTATCTTGCTGTTTCTGCCCATACTTCTATATCAGTTATAATTCACTCTAAACTTACAATTCAACTACTAGTATCTTGCTGTTTCTGCCATACTTTCTATATCAGTTATAATTCACTCTAAACTTACAATTCAACTACTAGTATCTTGCTGTTTCTGCCATACTTCTATATCAGTTATAATTCACTCTAAACTTACAATTCAACTACTAGTATCTTGCTGTTTCTGTCATACTTCTATATCAGTTATAATTCACTCTAAACTTACAATTCAACTACTAGTATCTTGCTGTTTCTGCCATACTGCTATATCAGTTATAATTCACTCTAAACTTACAATTCTACTACTAGTATCTTGCTGTTTCTGCCATACTTCTATATCAGTTATAATTCACTCTAAACTTACAATTCAACTACAAGTATCTTGCTGTTTCTGCCATACTTCTATATCAGTTATAATTCACTCTAAACTTACAATTCAACTACTAGTATCTTGCTGTTTCTGCCATACTTCTATATCAGTTATAATTCACTCTAAACTTACAATTCAACTACTAGTATCTTGCTGTTTCTGCCATACTTCTATCTAATCAATAATCCTCGTTTATTTTTTTATATTTGACTCAAAGCAATAAAGCTTGAATATGGATATACCGCGTGACTTTGATTTTAGAGAATTTTTGCATGTTATAGTAACCGGGACATTTTATTAAACATAAGATTTATAAAATAGAGGGTGAACATTTCATTTCATTACCCCTCACTACTTTTGTAATGTTTATTTCCTATAGGCCAGTTGGGAGTTATTCTTACTGTTAATTCAACTTAGATAGGTAACAGTACTTTTTTACAGTATAGAATCTGAAAAATAAAACCTATAGAAACAGTATCCCAACTCTGACCTTTTATTTAAACAACAAAAGATTTAACACATACATTGACATGTTCTCTTGTATGTTGTGGTGAAATTCTTATTGTATCCACAAATCTGATAATTAGAATTAGGCAGGTCAGGGATTTTATTCTATGAATGAAGTATTTGTTAAATGATACATAGGTTTATGAGTAACAGCAAAAATATCACCTCTCGTAAAAAATACTGTTACACGAGGGTGCAGACAGTAACAGTATTTTCCTCGAGATAATTGTTTTACTATTACTCACAAACCTATGCCTATGTGTTATTTTTTATATATTATCATCTATTATCTATTTATTAGGAAATGTAAAATATGAGATTGTTGAACATTGCTATGTTAAAGACGGAAATTGCTTATATTAAATTTCATGACTTGGATAAGACCAAGCAGTTTGATTTGGATCCGTTATTAGATTTGGAATTAAAAACCAACTAACCAACTGGTAATTTAGTTAAAGTATCTTTACTAAAGCCTGGATTTAAATGTTAATTTATCTGACGAGGAATCCTCTGGTCGAGAATCTAACCATAGTTAAGATTTGTGGAAAATGTCAGTCTACGAAGTATAGTACAGCTATTACATAAAGTTCTATATCAGTGGCAGGCGTTATGATGAAATAAACTTTGACGATGATTTTGTAAAAGAAAACACGGATAGTTAGACTATTAAAATAATCATTACTACGTTAGGCAAGGTTATATATCAGTCATCAGCTATGTTAGGCAAGGTTATATATCAGTCATGGCCTATGTTAGGCAATGGTATATATCAGCCATGGGCTATTTTAAACAAGGTTATATATCAGTCATGGGCTATTTTAAACAAGGTTATATATAAATGATGGGCTATGTTAGGCAAGGTTATATATCAGTCATGAGATATTTTGAACAAGGTTATATATCAATGATGGGCAATGAAAGGCAAGGTTATATATCAGTCGTAGGTTATTTTAAACAATGTTATATATCAGTCATGGGCTATGTTAGGCAATGTTATATATCAGTCATGGGCTATTTTCAACAAGGAAATATATCAGTCATGGGCTATGTTAGGCAAGGTTATATATCAGTCATTGGCTACTTTAAACAAGGTTAGATATCAATGATGGGCTATGTTAGGCAAGGTTATATATCAGTCAGCGGCTGGGTTAGTCAATGGTATATATCAGTCATAGGCTATGTAAGGCAAGGTTATAAATCTGTCATGAGCTATGTTAGGCAAGGTTATATATCAGTCATGGGCTACTTTAAACAAGGTTAGATATCAATGATGGGCTATGTTAGGCAAGGTTATATATCAGTCAGGAGCTGGGTTAGTCAATGGTATATATCAGTCATAGGCTATGTTAGGCAAGGTTATAAATCTGTCATGAGCTATGTTAGGCAAGGTTATATATCAGCCTTGAGCTATGTTAGGCAATGTTATATATCAGTCATGGGCTACTTTAAACAAGGTTTGATATCAATGATGGGCTATGTTAGGCAATGTTATATATCAGTCATGATTTATCTTAGGCAATGTTATATATCAGTCATGGGCTATCTTAGACAAGGTTATATCAGTCATGATTTATCTTAGGCAATGTTATATATCAGTCATGAGCTATCTTAGACAAGGTTATATATCAGTCATGAGCTATCTCAGGCAAGGTTATATCACATTCATGAGCTATGTTAGGCAAGTTGATATATCAGCCTTGAGCTATGTTAGGCAATGTTATATATCAGTCATGAGCTATCGTAGGCAATGGTATATATCAGCCTTGAGCTATGTTAGGCAAGGTTATATATCAGTCATGATTTATGTTAGGCAAGGTTATATATCAGTCATGAGCTTTGTTAGTCAAGGTTAAATATCAGTCATGAGCTATGTTAGGCAAGGTTATATATCAGTTATGAGCTATGTTAGGCAAGGTTGGTTTGTACAGAATTTATTTTACTTCGATTGCGTAGGAAGCTATTAGCTTATAAACACACTTTCGAATCCGTTGCTGGAATCAACCAGTACTGAGCAATGAGTGTAAAGTTTCTTGCTCAAGGAAACAACGACTTGCCCCTGTCAGGGTTTGAACCTATGCGGCTAGCGATCATAAGATTACTAGTCCGAAGCGTTAACCACTCGGGCATGCCGCCACATTAGGCAAGGTTATACAATGTATATCAGTTATGAGCTATGTTAGGCAAGGTTATATGTCCGTCATGGGCTATGTTAGGCAGTATTATATGTCAGACAATACCTATATTAGGCAAGGTTATTTTTCGGTTAATTTCTATCTTAAGCAATGTTATATGCCAGTCATGGGTTATGTTAGGCAAGGTTATATGTCAGTCATTGACTCTGTTAGGCAAGGTTATATATCAGTCATGGGTTATGTTAGACAAGGTTATATATCAGTCATGGCTATGTTAGTCAGTCTTTGTTTATTTTAGGCAATGTTATATGTCAGACAATATTTATGTTAGGCAGGGTTATATGTGAAGGGTTAAATACAACTAAGATCAAACAAAGCTTTTCATCAGACTGTTTTTTATTATTTGAAGTAGGTCACATTTCTAATTCACTTTTATTAATTTCGATACAGAGAAGATTTTAACACATTTAGTAATTATTTTCTCTAAACATTTTATTGAAGCATTCATTCTACCCAAACGCTAACATCCGAAACATCATTTAATAGTGTTGAATAAGTTCAGTTAATGTCACGTGGGATCATACATGTTCATGATGACAGTGTAATATTAATCCCAGCTCTTTATAGAAGAAAGGATATCAAACACATGACCCTCAAAATTACCAATTTATAAATGGTCAGCAAACACATACGCACAACTATATAAAGATTTTATACTTATTTGCTCTTTATAAATCCAAAGTATGATTTTCCCTAAACGAAATGAAATTATTTCTAGTTCAGAAAATGGTTATCAAATAAAAACTACTGGTTTTCTTAACAAAGGCAATGAATAATGTATTAAGATATCTTAAAGTGATGTTCATGTAGACAACTTCAGTCTAGATCCCCTGTCTGGAGAATTTTATTTAACAATGATATAAGCTGTAAACTGTCCTGACTTCCGGCCACACATTTATCATTAAAGGAACACGCACCTAAAATATATAAAATATATGAGTTATATAACATAAATGAGTTCTACAAAATAAATGAGTTATATATTAAAATAAATGAGTTATATAAATAAATGAGTTATATAAAATAAATGAGTTATATAAATAAATGAGTTATATAAAAGAAAACAGTTATATAAAAATGAGTTGTAGAAAATAAATGAATTACAGAAAATAAGGGTTTTTTTTTACATATCTTTTTTTTATTAACTGTACATCCAATTGAACATTTAAGAAAATAATCTGCAAAATTCATATTGTTGCGTAATTTAAAATAAATGGTCTAAACAATTTTCATTTTCATTCTATCAATCCTTGGCATTGTAGAATATTTGAAAATTTGTTTTGTATTTAAATGATATTTTAATTTCTTCCATGTTAAATGTGTCTGAATATAACATAAGGTTATATGATAATAATTATTCTCTATCATATCTGAAATAATACTTTGATGTTCAGATGTACATTAGCCTGCATGTTTTATGTAAAGGTGCACTTTAATATCTTATATATTGTTTCAAGTGTGGAAACAAAACAATGAAATTGTTATCAAAGTGTCAGATTCTGCAATAAGTATCAACTTTAATGTTGATTTTATTTTCCCTAGTTTAACCAGAACTATTTTTATATTATATAACATGCAAATTTCGGTTCTGGAGTCTTGAATTTTTTAACATCAAAATTTTGATTCGAACTCCTCTTCATCTTTATTTCACACTGGCTGTTAAAAATAACATAAAATAAAATAGAGACAAAACTTTCAGATGTTAATGTTACGGCAAATATGAGACTCTTCATATTCATATTGTATTAATGGGGTTAGAATCGGGGATTTTTAAGATAATATATTCATATGATTTAAAAATTGAAATTGAGAAGGAACGTGTGAGACACATGGAATAATGTTCATATGCGATCAAAAACGAAGGCAATTATTTTTGTAACTCTTGGAGTTAAATAAAGGCAATACCGTAGTATATGGGGAATAAGCGCGGTATTTGTTGTATATGACAAGATATTTTCAAAGTTATATATCTCAAAAATTGACAGCATTATACCTAAATACGTGTATAATGAATCTTTGAAGACATGTTTAAATTGAAACACGAGTGATTGGCATTCGGTTTATAGACTGATAATTGAAGATGTATTTGCATCAAAAGTATTTTACTACAGGTGACCTTAAGAGTAATGATAAAGTTAAAAGTATTCTTTTTTTCATACTCTAAGATTGTATCTTAAAAAGTATATAATTATATATTAATGTTATTGTTAGTTTATTACTAACAACTGTAATTTATTAGTGAAATCAGTAAGCAGTAAGACCAACTAACTTCTTGAATGCATAAGTGTAATCAGTAAACAATAAGGCCAACTAACCTCTTGAATTCAATTTTTGTAATCAGTAAGTAATAAGACCAAATAACGTCTTGAATTCAATAGTGTAAGGCCAACTTAACTTTAGTTTTTTTTAAGGAATGCAGATGTTGACAAAATACAATTATGTAAATTCTTGTTAGAATTATTTATGCATTCTATATAAATGTCGTTTAGGTATTTGTTTGTTGAATTAACTGACGTCATACATATCAACATTATTGTTTGTAACAACAAGGTATGTGTACAAGTTGAAAATGTTTGTTCATCTTCTTATAATAAAACCCTTTAAGTCTTCAATATCGAGTGTTCAACTTTATTCCATTTTTTATTTATTTTATGCAGTTTATTAAAATGTAACGAATGAACTACATCATTCAATGATTCGATCTTTTTAAGTGTAATAATTATCATTGGACCCAGTCTTATTAAATCAGCATCGTTTTTATTTAGGTCCAAAAAGTTCATATTAAATGCATATTGTACTCCATCGAGTCTCCTCTTAATTTTCTGAAGCCAAAAGTTCCATATCAAATCCATATTGTATTATACAAAAACACTGTTGTTCTTTTAGTATTTCATGAATCTAATATGTTTCTTTTTAAAAATTGGTGCAGTGAAAATTTATTATACTTTGTTTAGTACAATACTGATTCTATTGGACTCATACACTGCAGCAAAACCGCGTCCAAAGAATTCAGTATCATACGCAGTAATGACCTCATCATATAACTTTTTATTGCGACTGTTGTCAATATGTTTATATTTATATATATATTTTGCGAGTGTTATCTATGATATATATGCATTTATGCATGTACATACAAAGAACAAATCAATACATACTAGAATCGCAGCAAATTCCGTCCGTTACACAAGATCCCTGTCCCCGTGCACCGCATGGTTCCCCTCGTATTTCACAGGCAATGGTACGCTCGTTTTCTTTTTGACATATCTGAGTTTCTGAAGTACCAAAGTAGCAACCAAACGATCCGCAGCAAATGTTCGGGCCGACACATTGTCCACTATTTGCAGGACCGCAAGATAAGCACTGAAATTAATCAATTCAATAAATGATTATTAAAGGGAGCAGCAGAATAATTAACAAGAAATTGTTTTCTCTATATTATTTGTAGAATATGGCTTGACTACATTATTAAATTGATTATGTTTGAATTTATCATGACAAAGTATGACATCTATTGACAGAGGAAATAAAAGGACGACAGAGAAACTATAATATCTGCAATATCTGAGATATAAATGACACTGTTGTTTATTCTAATTAAACTGCTTCTTTGATAAAACACAAAAAACACGTACATTTTGTGTATAAATTGTTTCTCATCTAAACACTTGTAATTTATATAAATAATTGATTTCTGTGTTTTCGTGAATTATAAGCCTTTATTCTTATTCAACTAATTATAAACTTCTAATTACAATTTAATATTTAATCTGTAATTATAATTTGTATATACGTCATAAAGTAAAGCTAAACATATTAACAAAACATGCTCAGATTAGGCTAACCTAATTTGTTTCTCCTTTAATGTCAAAACACAAATTTTCAATGTTAAATATAATAATTTTCCCGCTGGCAAATAACATCCCGGAAATACAAAAATCTAACATCACACGTGACTAAAGACTGCCTGAAGTAATGCAAATTTCATCGATTTTTCATAAGGACAATTACTATAATTTGGTCAAGAAAACAAGTAATTTTACAATACTTAACCAATAATTTCTTCTTTCATAACAGTATGATGATTGTGAAATGTTGTGTTTATTTTACAGATACCAGCGTTAACATGACATGCTAGAATCAGTTTTGTCATCGTCAGACTTGTCAAACTTAATGTAATTTTAAATGTGCTACAGTAAATGTGTAGTTAGAAATGTCATAGAGGTAACGGGAACAATTTAATATGTACTCTTCCCGGAATTAAATATAGTCTCCCGACATTTCTACATTAAAAGCTGACAAGAAAAATTTAGTACATATTCATGTAACTGACTTCTGCAATATTCTTCAATATTATTTATTACAATCTATAAATCGACTAGTCATAAATACAGTACATACTTAAATATAATAAAGTTTAATACATGTATATATGCTTGTTAATATCCCTTAACTATCACAAACTTTATGCTATGATCAACAAACCTATTTCTGGTAATACTATAGATTGAAGTAATTTACCTCTATAATAACTAGGTATATTATAATCTCACATTTTATGAATAGCTACAACAACTTATTTTTCACCATGAGATTGGTAATTTACCAGTATTATATAAAATGGATTATGGGTAATGGTCAATGGCGGTCAGTTAAAAATCGCTCAGTGAAAATTTTTAGAAATTTTTTAGAATAAACCAAAAAAACGGACTTATAACGGTGTAAAATCTTGTAAAAAGGAATACGGATACTATGCCGAATAAAGGTAAAAAATCATCTTCATTCCATAATAATGCTACCAGACAAGATAGAAAACGTGCACGACGAAACTCGAGCGCTACGTCGGCAGAATCACCCCACCCATATGAAGTAAATACATCATTGCCTACGAAGGAGAACTTTGTTTCCCTAGATATAAGTGAGAAAATGAACTGTTTGTTTGATCTTATGGTTCAATTTGGGCCAGTGAATTATAAACTTGACTGCATAACAAAAAAATTGTATCATACAGTTGCTACAAACGAAGTCAACAATTCAAGGTTACGCCTCCTTGAATATAAAAACATTGATACGGAGGCCCGTCTTTTAAAAAATAACATCTTATTTCATGGTATCCCCGAAGGAAATACCGACTGTGTGACATCTGTTTTGAACTTTATTAATGATCACCTGCAGTTAGACCCAAGCTCTATGCGAATATCACGTGCATTTCGGATAGGAAAGCCCAAACGACAACAATACCCGGACAAACCTTATATTCGTCAAATACTGGTAACTTTCTCTGAACAATCTAATGCAGACAGCGTCATGGAGAATGCCAAACTACTAAAGAACACCAAATTTGGTCTATCCCGGGATTACCCGAAAGAAATTCGTGAAGCACGTCAAGAATTATGGCACGATTACAAGGATGCGAGGTCAAAATATGGCCCCCGAAATGTCAAGCTTAAGTATCCTGCTGCCTTGGAAGTAAACGGAGAAACAGTACGCAATTTATTCCCTGGATGGCACTCAATTCTACGAGGCTCACGTAACTCTAACGTGGAATCACGTGTCAACGAGACTTACACGAGAGCAGCTGAGAAATCATCTATACTCGCACGTGACGAGACCCTCATCGAGGAAGACACAGGGGATGACACTGATTCGATCAAAAGCGATGACATAATACGAACAACGAGCCCAAATCAATACAAAGAATCTGCGAAGTCATCTCCGATAGGTACAACACACACATCCAAAGGTTATTTGCTAGAAGTACATGCCCCACTTCAAGGTCCTACACTTGTATCGGCGCCTTTTCCTGGCAATCGTAAGGACAATTTTACAGACTAGTGTTACCCGGGGTCAGTGGTATACTTCTGCGAACAGTGTAAGGATATTCCATGCTCCTCTAAAACATTGACTTTTTCCTTTTTTTATTGTTGTTAGCATATTAAGAACTCAAAACTTTGTTTTTTTCACCGCTTTCAAATAAATACTTCAAATATTGTCCGCTTTCCCCATCGAATACAGAAACACTAAAACCCAAAACATAATTAATTAGAATATTTTTGACCATGTTGTTACCCATACTAATTATTTATGCTACTCTTCGTTCACATGTTATTGCTTGATACATGTTAAATGTGTATTATGTAATCTGTGACAATTGAAAATAAAGTGATTTGTATTGTATTGTATAACAAATCAAAAATTTATTTAAAAAGGTAAAAGAATATCAACACCTGTTATGAAAAATACAGAAATAATGCTATTATAGACACAGGGTTTTCCCCACGTCTTAATGATTTAACGGCATACAAAATATCTTCATCAGTAATGTCTGCTTTAAAAATGGAGTCTTCTTTATCATTATTAATCGAAGCCTCATAAATTATTTCAATATTACCTAGAATAATTTCACCAGCACCATTGAATAGATTTTCAAAAAAGTTTTTTTTTTTCTGTAGTAAAATCGTTTTGGACATGTTCTCTACTTGAACTCATAAATTTACCCTTCTGTAAATGGCTTTGGGATTTTTGCATTTTTTAATGAAATAATTTAACTGGATTTACATATTGTATTCCTGTTTTAGTTGTTGTTTTTAAAATCTCATTATGTTGGAAGTTTAAATTCATTACACAATGTTTCAGTTTTATTCCTCATGTAATTTCTAAAACGTCTGTCTTACAAATATTTCAACTCAACATTATTTATTAAACCATTTGTTTTCTAATACAACAATACGGTCATAATAATGTTAACAATTTATTTTCTTGTTTATTACACACTTGCCCTCATAAAGTTAATATATTATTTGCTTGGTTACAATCTACAACATATCGAAGCTACATATTAATATTTTTCATGTTTAGATATGTGATGATAAATTATGTATATCTCTGGAACTGAAACTTTTAATCGCATAACTTGTGACAAGTTGGAGACCAAATGTCCAGCCGGAAGTGCCAATAGCGTCCATAGATTACCCATTGACAAGAGCGATGTATGATTTTAGGTCATTTATTCTGCATATTATTGTCTACGTTAGGGACGTCCAGTATGTAAATCCGGCATTCGGGCATTTTGAGATCAATTCACGAGATAATATTTATAAGTTCACCAAAATTTTCCAGATTTTAGCCCTATTTAACATAAATTGAGCGAAATTTTCGAAAAGAATGAAGATAAATAAGCATATTAATAATGTTACGGAATTATACATGTAGGTGTGAGCACATATGGATTTAAGCGTAGTACATCTCCATTTGTAACATTGACTGTTGATTTGTGGAATAACTAAGATTAAATCAACAATTTATAACAACAGTATGCAATAAAAATACAAATAAAGAATGAAAATATACTTCTAAATATTTAATTGAATCTATACATTCTCTATCTGTCATTGATTATACACACATTTTCATGCATTTTTAAATTGTCCAGATAAGGATCATCAGATTGTCATTATATGAAGTCTGTTTATCAATATTCATTCCAAATTACACAGTCCCAAACAAGAAATTGTCGTTAATACAACAAACTTGGATGAATAAGCTTGATATACAAGGACGTCAACTGTATTTACAATGACTATATAATTAAAGAACATCAATAGGTAAGTTATACAATCTTGCAGGATGTTATTTACATGTTTATAGAGCATGAATACATGAGAACATAGATCAAACTGATCATAATATGAGAGGAATGTTCCCACGAGATCTTCATTCAACTTGCTGGTCTATCAATTAACAGACATTATTTGTCAAAGAATAAAGAACCGAGGTAAAATCTATATCCCTGGAGAACCCCCCCCCCCCTTCTCTCTAATATACACGTACAATACTTTTAACGCAATTATGTTAGTTTACAATGAAAGTAAAACATATTGTAATGGCAATGTGTTCATGGGTGTAATATGATAAGAACTAATGAAAAATAGATTAATAATATTACAAAACAAAGTTAGAGGCTGGTAGATGTATTAGTTTTCTATGTTAGTGACATGGCATTCATTGTACGAGGATATATTGCTAATAATAAAATACAATAACTGTACAAACCTTAATCTATATTGAAAATCGAGTAAATTATATAGTCAACATGAAATAACACAGTTCAATGTGACAGTATACAAATTTTTCTCTTTATCCGTTGAAAAGTTTTTGTAACTTATTAAAATATCCAAAGAAGGGCTACTAGAACTATTCCTACATTGAGAGGTTTATCCTATCAATAAAGACTTGCCAACACTTTTATATTGTAGACAACGATTTGATCTCATTCAAATTTACAAAATTATTAATGGGTTTGATTATATTGACCCAGATAAATTTTAAATGTTCAATGATAACTGTACAAGTGGTCATATTTT